AATTTATATTATAACACAACATTATTTTTTATTTATTGATATTTAATTTAAAATTATTTAAATTTAATTTATAAATAATTATGATAAACAAAAACTAAATTAGGTATAAAATTAAAAGAATTCTTAAAAATCCTTTTGTTGAAAGAAAAGGTTTTTAAAATATTTTTACATAAAATAATTGTTCGCATTTTATAATATATAGGGGCATTTTATAATATATAGGGGTTGGTTGATAAATTATGTATAAAAATAAATATTATGTTTAAATATATAAATTTTATTTTAAATTTATGATAAATAATATATATTATAGCGTAATATTATTTTTATATATTAATAATTTTAAGAAAAATAAGTTAAACATACAATTTAGTCATCATACATGTTACAAATTCTTAATTTGATTCCTATATGTAAAAAATTATTAAATTGGTCCTATACAAATATATATTATTGATTTGATCCAGATCATTGTTAATTTCTTTACATATTTTTAATTTGATCATAGTACATATAAGACATTCTTAATTTCATCCTTCTACCTATAATATATTACTAATTTGTTCTCTACATATAAGGACTAAATTAAGTATGTTTTACATATGTAAGAACCAAATTAAAAATATTTAAGGAAGAACGGTCAACAAATGACAATAGATACCAAATTGGTAATTATTGTATGTACAAGGATCAATTTAATAATTTTTATGGATGAATTGAGAATCAATGACACATGTAAAGACTAAATTATATGTTTAATCTTAAAAATATTAAAATTTAATTCATAAATAATTACAATGAATAAAAATCAAATTAAATACAAAGTTAATAAAATTCTTAAAAGCCCTCTCATTAAAGAAAAATCTTCAAAAATGTTCTTACACAAAATAATCATCTGTGTTTTATATATAAGAGATAATTTTAACATAATAGAGAATTTTTAAGGTGAGTTTATTTTAAAACTAAAAAACAGAATTATAATCATTTTTAAACTGAAAAAAACAAAACAGAAAACATACTCGGATGGACCCTTAATATGTAATTTTGATTTTCCAAAATCTTGAAACAAATGTAAAATAAAATTATAATCATTTTTAAAAGAGTTGCATCTTAAAGTTGTGTTAGGCCTAGCTAAATGATTGACGGGCTCTTACGTCGTTGCAAAATGACCATATTATTACACAAGTGAAAATTTAAATAGGATATATCAGATGAAAACATTAGAGATTTATATTATCTCACACACTGTTCAATCATTAAGCTAAACCCCTTATACGTCAGAAATAAGTTTGACCATACAATACATGAATGATTAAAATTGGTTATTACCCTTCAAACTAACTTTAACATACATAGGATGAAATGATAAGATAATTAACTTATCTTACATTTTCAACTTTCCCCTAATAAGTTCCTATCTAGCTTTTGTTGTGATTTGGCCAAAAAGAAACTCCTCTCAAAATCGAAAACTTGTCGCTTCTAGAGCATATAGATTGTGGCTTAGGAAGCATGGAAAATGACACACAGTGCAGTCTAAACAAGAAAAACACGACAAATAGAATTTTGATATTATCAAACATGTATATTGAATTATTGAGTCGTGTTTGACACAAGTATCGATATATATAGAGCGTGAATGTGATATAGATCTTATGTATTTCATACAACTTGTTTAAATATATAAGTTTAAAAGTATTTTTATGAGTTTTTTTTATTAAAAAGTATTAATTTTTATTAAAGAAATTCTCAAAACACTTCTAACTTATAACTTATATGTAAATTGGTTCATATACTTTGTACTTACGTAGTTAGTTACGAAGTACTAAGGTGATCCATGGAGAGAATAACAGTATATATCTAGTGTGAGTAAAGTAATGTGATCCAATTTTAGAAGGAATGAATGTCATTTGCACGTGCTTGTTTAGGAATGATTAATTAGAATTTGAGAAATAATACCTTATTTTTCAAAAGTTCTGATCTTAGGAAAATGCAAAAGATAAGTGATTATATTTTCTCAAATTAAGTTGATAACACGCACTACATTGTTGCTCTCTGAGGTATCTAACAGCTGGATGATGCAAACTCCATTTCACAAGGTTAAAAAGAGTTAAATTTCAACCTAATAATGGAACAAACAAATTAAAGTTGAAAGTTCTTATATAATTTATGTTATTCCTTGATTTATTTTGGTAAACTGACCATCCATATACTAGTGATAGTAGCACATAATGATAATCATTTTCTTGGTTAGGTGAATTTTGGTCCCTCTCATTTCAAGTACATGATAGTAACACAGATTTTCCCTTAGAGGGGTAGAGATTCTTTAGAAGAACCAGAACATATGTTGCAACTGTAGGAGAAATAGGAACATATTCCAACGAATGAAAAAGGATAGAATGCTGAGATGGGAACAAAAGGCACAAGGGAAGGGAGAAGAAACAAAGGGCACGAGTTAAAAAAATACAAATTAAGAGGCAAAGAAGAAAGAGTAGAGAGGATAGAAATATACATTTAAGTACAAGATGTTCTTATGGCCACTGGATGTTTGAAAAAAAAATTTGAAAATATTACTAATGATATGACATTGATGCACTAAAGAAAGAATCCATTTTCTAATTTAGCTCTCTAGCCTATATATTCCAGCCAAGTAGAAACAACAATGGCCAAAAATGGAAAAAAGCCAAGTTCATACCATGGAATAAAATCTTCTGCATTACTTCGCATATTGGTAACACATCATTCAGTGGCCTTAGTTTTAACTTCTACCTGTGCGTATATGATATTTGCCAATCAGGAAACTTCAAAGGACCTTCAGTTTGTTTTTGTTTACTTCCATATATCACAAGTTCCTCTTGTTGGAGAATCTTAATTATATCATCCACCTCAATTCTTTAGGTAGGTACAAGGGTAACTTATATATCTATCCGAGAACTTTACTTACCTTAATTTATTTATTTGAGAAAAAATAAAGTGGAGAGATATAAGATTAAAAAAGTACTAAATTTTTATTAGGAGACAAAATGAAAAATAAAATGAAGTTATTTATGCAAAATCTACTAGAAAACACTTTTCCTCTCAAATTGGGATAAAATTAGAAGGAGGTGATCTATTTCTTTTCTCATTTTTAGCTTATTTTTAAAAAATATATATTATATAGTTTTTCTAATAATAATTTTATGTTAAATATTATATTAAAAAATTACATTCTTAACTATCATAAAAATATTTTTTAAACAATTCATATATTTCTTTCTACAATCTTTTCCATTCACCCAAATAAGCTGAGAGAAATTATCTTGCTTACTTCTTGCTTATTTCTATCCATTCAAACAACATAATTTTTCTATTATATTTCTCCTCTATTTCTCTTTCATTCCTATTTATTTCATTCAAATTTCTTTCCTTTCTATTTCATCCATCTCCATCCAAAACGTTAATTTCAATTGGTTTTACATGAAATCCAGTGAATAGGTTTTAAGATCAAATGTAATACTCCATACCTTAGACTAAGGAAATAAGTGACACAAAATCAAATATTTTACACTTCACATAAAAGACAACTAGCTCAATAAATGATAGTAATACACTTGATACAAAAACATCGAATACAACTCCATATTTTTTTCTTTTAAAGGTTTTGAATTTCAAGCATGTCACTGTGCAATGAAAACTCTCACATTTTTTGACAAGCTTGTACCAAAGAAAATGGAGGGGGAAAAAGAGCAGAAAAGGTGATAAGAGTTGGTACCGCTGTAAACCGAGTAGAAAATAGGTAGTGTACAAATTCTGTATCCATTTTCCAAAGAATTAGTTCTGGAACATTTATGGATGATATATTTTAAATAATCTAAACCTTTTGAAGGACATAGTATTAATTTTGGTTTTAAACTTGGTGCTTTTAAGGCAGTTTGTCTTATCAGGAAAAGACTTACACCTCCTAGATGATAAGTGCATGGAATATGTTATTATATTTTATATTTAGCACTCCTTTTGAAGTTATTGTGTATATTTAAGCTCAATCCAAATTAGTCACTTATCTTTTGATCATATTTAGTTTATCATATTTGTGTTGTGATTTTGATCTCGGTGTTTAAGTCGATTTAATCACTCATCTTTTGATTTATAGTTTTGAATCTTTTTGAAAAATATTTTTTAAACTTGGTTGAATTATTTCAACTAACAATGACTTATGCTTTGAATAGACCTAGATTTATTAGCCATTTACATCCTTGTGCTTAATACAAGGATGTAATCTTGATCATTGAGGAATCATATTTCAAGATTTAATCCTTAGAAATTCAAGCTTGAAGAATTACTTTGAGTGATTATATGAATGTGGGAATATGAAAACTTGAATTCTTATAGAAGATTCATTAAAAAATATAAGTGTTGTGAAAGTACATTTAACCTCAATCTCTCTCTTGCATAGGAATCACTTCTTGAATCAATCTTTTGTTAAATATCTCATTTGTAACTTATTTTATTTACATGATTTGCTTATTATAATTGTGTATGGTTGTTTATACACATTGAATTAGGAAAAAAATTACATAATATCTCTAAATCTCTAAAGGCAATATCTTAAATTACTGCACAAAACATGATCTACATACTTGCTAAGTGTGAAAATCCTTCACCACTATATAGTGTATCTAGATAGAAACTAGGGTGTAGGTGAAAGTATTGCAACTATTGTTTTAAATTGCGGTTGTGATTATGGGTTATGTTGCAATGTTTGATATTGTAGAAAATTGCGAATAAATGATGGCAGTTAATTATTTTCGATGATGATGATACACTGTATCTATATGTGTAATTCTAGGATATTTGATGGAATCAGCCATCAGCTTTCCGAGTCAGTTTACTTTAGAAAGTTGAGGCCAACATGAAAGAATAATGTGATAAAAATCTTCCAGCAGTATATATAAGTCTAAAAATTTGCATCCCAACATCACAAATAATCAAGGGAGACCCTAAGTTTAACACAACATTCTTAAGCTATGTCTAATAATGAATGTGCATTTGGGGTGATGTATGGGAAATACAAGCTTCACCTTATCATGGTTCTAGCTCAGGTGGCATCCTCGTTTCTCTATTTCCTACTTGAGGCTTCAATAAACAAAGGGTTGAACCCTCATGTCTTCGTTACTTATCGACATGCTGTTGGGGGCATAGTTGTGCTTCCTTTTGCTTATGTTCGTGAAAGGTACATCCTATATCCATATAACATATTATGTGCTTCTGATGGTTGGACAGTCGCATGCCTTTAAAAGCTTTGAAAAAGTAATGCTAGTTCATAGTTGATAGTTGATACTACATATTACATGTCATTACCTCATTCCAATGTAGCAAGTTATGCCCCAGCTTTGGCGCTGAGCGTGACATGCGTGAAATCTTCCTTTGCTCTCTATTATCCTAACACTTAGCTTCAGCCTTGGCACTCAGTTCTAGTATACAAAATCATCTTCACACCTTTTTCACATAATTTACTTTGTTTTTTCTCCTAAAAACCTACAAAGCACACAAATTATATTATTAACTATATAAACCAATATTAACATCATTAAAACACAAGTAAAACAACATATTCACACAAATTACTAAATTAAAACATATTTGTATCCTAAAAATTACTATATAATTCACATTTGTCAGTTATGCACTTGTAAAAGTACTCATGCTATTGCTTAACCTATGACATTGTATGTTGATTAAAAAAACGTATGTTCCTATTCCTCATTTTCCCGTTTAAGGATTGTCTTTCACTCATATCTAGTTTCTTTCTTTGCAGAAAAGCATGGCCAAAGTTGACGATGACATTGTTCATGGAGCTATTTTTTCTTTCCCTCTTCGGGTATTGTTCTCAACTGACATTTTTTTTCTTGAACAGAGATACATAATTTAGGTCTACCAAAATCAGGAAGAAACTTACATTTATCTTTGTATTCCTTCACTGTGAAAAACAGGATCAGTCTTACCCTGAACATGTTTTTTGCAAGCTTGAAGTATACCACTCCTTCCTTTGTTGTATCCATGACTAACACAATCTCATCCCTTACTTTCATATTTGCAGTTGGACTCAGGTGAGTAGCTGAACTTAGTTTTCAAGATTAGTCATATTCTTGTGAAATTATCAGTCCTACAAAACTAGAGTTCTATTTTTGACTTTGATTTATTTTTCATGATTCTTTTAAATAGGCTAGAGGTTGTTAATGTGAAGAAGCCTTGTGGGCTGGCTAAAGTTTTTGGAACTGTATTATCATTGATTGGTGCCTTATTAATGACTTTGTATAAAGGGCATACGATAGAAAGCTTACAGGGTACCCCGTTCCATATCAGAGACAAATTGGTTCATATAAACTGGATTAAAGGATCAATTTTGTGTGTTGCAAGTTGTATATCATGGTCCTTATGGTACATACTACAGGTATACTTATCTATAATTAAGTTATATATCATCGGTTCATCCCAGCTTCAGCTCCACCACCCATGGCTCAACCCTGCTGATCAATATTTCCTTCAGTATTACATGTTGATAATTGAGTAGAATTTAATATGGAAGTAAACTGTATACAACATGTTTTATGAACTAGCTCTAGAAAGAACAAAATTTACAAGGGGTTGAAATACCATTTATCTAGAAGAATATTTGTTAAAATTTATCGGAAATCATGTATTGCTAGCACTCTTCCTATATGAAATATACAAGAATTGAACGATTTTGAAAAGGGTAAAATCAAAACAATTGAAGGGGTGGGGATGGAGACCACAGGCATCATAGCTCATGTTATTTGCTTGGCTTGCAGGCAATCATAGTGAAGAAATATCCTGCACAACTAACACTAACAGCATGGATAAATTGCATGGGTGCAGTGCAGTCTGCTGCCTTCACTGTACTCGTGCAACACAAGCCAACAGCATGGTTCATTACATCCACTGTTGAACTCTGTTGCATTTTGTATGCAGTAAGTAAAAGCATTAAGAGGCTGAAATTAAAAGAGATCACTTTAAAAACAAATTCCTGACATAACCACACTACATGAGTTATTGCAGGGAGTTATATGTGGTGCTATTCTTATATTCTGTCAATTCTGGACCACGGAACAAAAAGGACCGGTTTTTGTGAGTATGTTTAATCCCCTTGGAACAGTTTTGGTGACAACCCTAGCATATTTTGTTTTTGGTGAAAAACTCCACATCGGCAGGTAAGGTACATTTCACTGTTCAATTACAATCATGTTTCAACAGTCTTAAATTATGTTTGGCTGTTTCAGTTTATTGGGAGTGGTCATTGTTATCATTGGTCTATACTTGCTACTATGGGGAAAAGAAAGTGATGAAGATTACAAGTCACAACAATCTTTTCCAACACACGTTGAGCAAAAAGAATGTAGGACTCAGATAAAGACTTCAACTGAGCAAGAGGCACCGCGGAGGAACGTAACACTGGACACCAATTAACGGATATACATGGCTAAGCTATCTAGGATGTTGCAAAATTAATTGCCGAAAACAAATTACTCTAACAATAAGGTGCTTATCGCTCTACGATAATTAGAAGTGGTTGGCCCCTCAACATGAAAAGCTAATTAGATGGCACGACCAGTTAGTGACTATAAAATGTGACTTAAGGAATCGTGTGCACATGAAGAAAGAATCTGGCCTGAACAAAGTGGCCAATTAAACTATTATAATTCAATTGGTTGTAAACTGTCCAACTTGTATTGCATTGATAGGTCTAATTTTAATATTTCCTTTCAACTTTATTGGCTCATGCAGTGTAGAAGTTGCCACAAGCACACTATGTGAAAGACGAGATTATTTCCCTTCGCGAATCTCCTCAAAAAACCTGAAGCAATTTTAAAATATGGCAATCACAAATAATCATAAATCCAATTATGCCAAGAAAAGATAATTGATCAGCTTAACTTAGGAGGGTTTCCTTTGATGTATATATTTCATGGTCTAGGTGAACTGTGATAGTGTGATAGTCACACATTTACAAAAAAAAAAAAAATGCCCATCCACCAAAATGTCTATAGATTGGGCAGCAGCTACAAGCAACTCAAGAAAAATAATTTGAGCATCTAAACTATACAACATTGGCCTTTCAATACTAGTCTCCTTGCTCACTTTGCTGCTTCAAGGGATGCTCGAATGGTTTCAGGGCTCGACAATTTATTTATGCTACAAACACATAAGATAAAAAATCAAAACAATGGAAAAGGTGAAGTTACATTGTCAAAATAGCAAATTTAAAGAGTGTTATACCCTAATCCAATCTTTTGAACACACTCCTTACTATTATCTAGAGAATTCGCATAGACCAAAGGAACTTACACGTATATCAAATCCCCACTAGAGACCAGCTTCTCAGAAATCCATTCCGGTACTAGTTCTAGCAACAAACTTAGCTGCTCTTCAACTTCACCTACGAATACAAACCAGAAATTTTAGTGTTCAAAAACCTATAAAATAGTAATTCATTTTTGCAAAGGAAAGTGCCTTACTTCTGTCAACAATATCTCGGCGGCCTGTGATTATCTTGTTTACAAGCTCAGATTTAGTGATACAAGACCGCTGTCGGAGCAAGCTGCGAATCATGTCAAAGAGCTTAGGCAGGCTAGCTATATTTTTTGTTCGTTTCTTTGCTTGTGAGATAGCTGGGTCTCTTTCCTCCATTGCCATTCTTTCCCTTTCTCTGATCTGCGAGAGAAATTCATAATATATTAGCTTAAATTCATTATATTTGACACCAAAATAAATCAATAAATAAAAAAGAATGTGTAGCTTTTCTTCTTGTAAAATAAAGGACATACAGATTGGATAAGATTTTCTGAGAGGATGTCAAAAACATCATCAACAACTGGTAAGTCACCAGCATTGTCTTCATACACAGCTTCCTTATTCTTCATTGGAGTGTCAAATTTTAATGACCTTGAGCGAGGTGGACGCCTAGCTAGCTTGTTCAAACTGGTAGTGTTGTCATCTGGGCTCATATAATGTATTTTTGATGGACGCAAGGCAGGTGTGGCACTCATCAACCTAATTGGAGTAGAGACAAGTTTGGCTGGAGTTGACATGGCATCAGTGCTCTTGAGTGATCCGTCTTTGTTTTCTGCGTTTTCAATGGTTTTGATTGGAGTAGCAGGAGGGGCACCAGACAACTCCAGAGAAGCACAAATTGTTGGACACCTTTCAGTGCTGGCTGCTTCTGAAGGCAACTTAGTTGGGGAGGTTTCCATACAAGAGTTAGTATCCTCAAAGGGTGGACTATCCTTCAGGCTTGACTCTGAAACTGGAGAAGCCACAGGCTGCATTGAATCCATCGGACACTTCTGATTTACATCATCTGCTCCATTTAGTTTGAATTTCTGAGCAAATCGTGGTCTAAAGGATGGAGGCAAGTGGGAAGCTGCGGCCAGATGCTCATTAGGCAATTCAACTGATGCCATGCATGATGACATTTTTGTTGGAAGACTAGTTTTTAACTTGTCCAAAAGACTGTCTTTCGTTGGGCGATTGAAGGGCTCAGGCAATGTTCCTTCAGGGATTTCATCACCCTACACGCAGAATCACAATTCAGACTAAATAATATGCATGCCTAAAAGAGTAGAGTAGTTTTTGTGATCACAGTAGTAATCTCTCATCATAAACAATGAAGTGAACTCATTAGAAATTAAAAAAATTATCAACATTAACATTTACATATTGAACATTTCCAAACAGAGGACAAAACTTAAATCAGAACCACGCCTCAAGGATTACACCCTAGCAACAAAGAATTTTCCAAGAACAAAAAAGGGATTGCACGCCTATAGTAATTCTGCGTAATAACAACCACAGTGATGAACAGGAACAAAAATCAAGGGAAATGCTTAATCAACAACTAAAAAACCCTCACAATAGATCTCATTAAACAAATATGCTAGTTAAAACTGTGCCTCACCTCAGGATGAGATTCCCAAAACCCTCGTAGCCGTTTCCAAAACAACTCCCTCAGGGGCACTCTCTCATCAGACTCTACAGCATTAGGGTCTATAGAGATGCGAATATCCGCCACCATACAACTAGTCCTTTCATCAAGCACTAGAATCTTCTCAAGAAGAATAGCCTCAGGTAACATAAATTTCAATTGCGCCAAATGACAGAGAGTAAAACTCCTAAACAAGTTAAAAAAAAAAAAAAAACACACACACACACAATTTCATTAGTAAACACAAAACATAAACATCAAAAAATCAAACATCTAAAACCCGTGTATATTAAAAATAATGAAAGAAAAAAAAAAGCTAACTGAAGCATACCTGTCAGACAAAGATTCAATTCTGGAACTGATCTTTTTAAACGACGGCGTCCACCCTTTGAGTCGGAAAATCGAAATCAAACTATCCAAATGATGGAAGAACTCACCCAACATTTCATATCTGCGGAAATAACCAAAATGAAAAATAAATAAATAAATAAAAAGTAAACAAAAAAATATTTAAAAAAAAGTGACGTACTTTTGGGGAAGCTTATTTTCATCAGCAGTAACTTTAGGTTTACTGGGAGAAGAAGGCCACAGTGAGATCTGTCTCCGGACACTACTTTTGACCTGCGACGACGTCGTTTCAGTGCGTTGCTGCTTCCCATCATGCAAACCCTTCCCTACCCTTCTGATTTCGGCGAGGGAGAGCGCGATGCCGCGGTTGCGGATCCGCTGCGGCGGCTTCTCCGGCGTCTTGGAGCTGAAATGCATTGGGCCTGGGGAATGGGCCTTGGAGCCCCGGAGATTGGGCTTCTTGGATCTGCCTCTGCAAGGAGGAGAAGCGGAAGCGGAAGCGGCCTCTGAGGCGTTCTTGGTCATGGTGGTTGAAAATAACAGTGAAATGTGTGACAATGATAACAGTGAAAATTGGGGGTGGATTCTTATATAAAGGGTTTTTTAGCGGGAAAACTGAGATCGCGTGCGTGCGTGCATCGATACAAGACGTTGCTTCCCGCCAAAACGAGACGTTGCTTCCCGCTTCTACGGTGAAGGCCCGGCCCAGAAACGATGACCTTTTTTTTTATATTGGGCCTGCCCGGAAATTTAACCAGATTTATTATTATTAAATATTTTTATTTAGTTTAAAGAACAATATTAATTTCAAAATATGCTTATATCTAAAAAAATCAAAATATACTCATATAAATTTAAGTAAATAAAATAAAATAAAAATTAAAGAGAACTTATTACTGTTTAAGAGTATATTTCTTTTTGGTGTTTCTATGCTAAAAGCAAAAAAAAAAAAAAAACCTATTACTACCTTGCAATTTCAGCAATTTGTTTTAACACAACTGTCCACAACAAGTAGATGCTTAGCCTTAATTAGACGCAACACACATAAAGCCCATCCATTGAGTTGGACCTTGCAGACAAGGGCTTTTCTACACTTGTGGGTATTGACTATTGATAGCAATTGTATGGACCATAAGCTCAGGCTCAAACACATGACCCAGAAGCCCGAATGGCTTAATCAATATTTTAAATTTTATTGTTGTTAGTCCTTCCACGTGTAAGGTGTGGATATATAGACCATTATAATCAAAAAATTGAGTTATCTATCTTCTATGTAGTAATTATGAAGAATTAATAAAATTTATTTTCTTTCCTTTTTTAAATTATAAGATTTTGTTTTATTTTTTTCATTTAGATAATTTTAGTCTATCAGAGATCCAATTTCAATACCTATAATTTAGATAATTTCATTTTTCCCTATCCACAACCTCATGAAAAAAGACACATAAATGATTTTCTAGTTTTGAGTTTCTTTTCCTTTTTTCCCTCTTTTTCTCTTTTGATGGTAAATTCTAAATCTTTTCTTTTTTCTTTTTTAAGGCTTGGGCGAGTATATGATTTATCGAATTTAATCTCTTTTTTTTTTCTATTAATCTTCTCATTATGGTATTAATATATCTATAATCTATGATAATGTTTTAAAATTTGAACCGAACATGTATGTTCACTAGTTTAATTTAAAACAACTTCAAATTTGTATTATCCTTACTTAAATTTGCAAAATGCACACAACTTTAATCAACAAAAGTGCTACTACTTATTCAAAAAGTTTTTAGTTTTCCAACACATGTTATTTTTATTCTTATAATATTTTAAGAGTTAAAATGCTATTTTTTTTTTAAACCTAGTTATATAAATGTAAAAATGTTATAATTTCTAAATAAAATAGACACTTACCAATGACACACAAGTTACAAAATAAAAAAGATATTTAATTAAACATGTTGATAGGCATGTTGTCCATTTATCACCCCCTACGTCTCATCAAGTGAGGGAAAACTTAAAATTTGAATTGTTTTTTAACAACTTGGGACTTAAACCCAAGCTATGTAGGTTAACAAAATTTTAATAGCCACTTAACCAATGTATATGCTTATAATATAAAAAACTAAATTATTTTACATACTCTACCTAATATATAATTTTTTATTTATTTTATAAATATATTAGTCCATGCAGTTTAATTCTATTAACTTAGTCATTTAGTTATTAACTCGTTAATATAGTAACTCAATCGAGTCAATGACTAATCTGAGTTTTAAAACTACGTTCTATAACAATTGTAAAAGTGATGAATTTTACTCTTTTAAAGTGGGGGGACACTTTAAAGAATAAAGTACACTCACAATTGTTTATTATAAAACCAACGATTAAGATTTGTAATAAAATCAAACTCTTATAAAAATTTCATTTTAATTAATTATGATATCAACTATTGCTTTTTTAATCAAGGATTATTATTGTACTTTATCCTTTAACCTGGTCACTACACTACCACTAAACAACTATTATGTAGTAGTGAAAGACTAAGAAACATGCATCAAAATTCGAGTTTATAATACAACTAATGACTGATATCAAATGTATACATACTACATACATAATACAATACTAGCTTGCAAAATAAACCCAGTGTTGGTTAACATCTATACAATACACGACTATATCAAAGTAGTCATCATAAAAAATCTAGCCACCTCCACCAACTACCCGAGCCATCCCGCTAATCTTGTCATACTCTCATACCAAATATGATCATCACAGTTTCAATCACAAAGAAAATACAAGGTAAGTTTGTTGAAAGAATTTAACATAACAGTTTATGAAAACATCATCATATTAAAATATTTCAACTTACAACAATACAATATCCTCATCATAGCAACTTAACATCTTAACACATGTTCAAAAAATCAACATATATCCTCATCATAACAACTTAACATCTTAACACATGTTCAAAAAATCAACATATATACATGTACATAATTTAATGCGTCATCACACATGTCAATTACAGAGATCTCCTACGTCTTATGATGAGCAGTTTAAGTAGTTTGACCCTACCAAATCACAATGGATGATATAATACCAAAAATAACGACTGACATTAAGGTCATAAACAACGGCTAGCATAAGCTATATTGAATTTTCAATTTCTACCACTTAAATAAGGAAGTATGATACTATGTTAGGGTAAAATAATTTAGGTATGAGTCTACCACAACATTAGTCTGCAACATTAAGCCACCTATGAGATTAGCTCATTGACTACACTCAAAATACCAAAATCCTCTAATACTAAGTTAGAGACTAAGTCTTCAATCCAATACTTTACTCGGTTGGTCACTTTATACATGTGTGCCTCGACCTTACTCACACACGAATACCACATAGAACCTAGAGGAGACAACTGAAAAATAACTTATCCATTCAGAGGTCAACTTACCTACTGCAGGATTTCAATCAAGCCTTTGGAGTACTACAACATATATATACACAATGGATATTAAGTTTGAAAACATATTTAACTCTCATATAGTTTCTATGTATCGTAGCTAAGATGTGCATCTAACTCACATATTTATAATTTATCAACTTAACAACTTTTGATAGAAAAGAATGGCACAATCCAAGAGGGGGGGTGAATTGGATTCAATGACCCTTTAAAAATTTATCAGAGTATTTTGGATCTTAATTTCAATCAAAACTTTTCTATGACAGAATATGAAGCTCTTATAAAGACTTGTTACAAAAATATGAATGCAATATGCTCACTTGATTACAACATAATGAGGTTCAACAATAATGTTCAATTACAGATTTAAACCATCAAGATTCACATACACTTGTTAATCAAGTTTTATCTTCTTTAATATTCAATTAAGCAATTACTCAAAGTAAGAGATAAGGTAGAAGAAGATTGCACAAGTCTTTTATACTGGTTCAGCCACTCCACATGTGACCTACATCCAGTCCTTAATCAACACCTGATTAAGATTTGTTCCACTATCTTTAATCAAGAAGGTTTACAAGCAAACACACATGCATATACTTCTATACTAAAGATAACCACTTTCTTGACCCCAAGAAAGCACCCCTTGTAGAACCCACTACAAGAAACCTTACTACTTGAGAAACCCTTCTCAAGATTTTCCACAAAGATTCACAAAGAATAAAAGGAACGAATTCACCTGGAATTCTTGAACAAATCTTTATCTTCCCCTTTCAAGAATATGATGATGATGATCTTCTACCAAAGCTTTTCACAAACGTTTTCACTCTTGGATTTCACAAAGAAAACTCTCCAAGATGTCACAAAGACTCACAAAAACGTTTTTCACAAATTGATTATCAGTTCTAACTCATGTCTGAAGTTTCTCAAAGTTCAAACTATTTATAAAAGTTTCAGACACAGATAATCGATTATTTTAAAGAATAATCGATTATTTTGTTCTTCAGATTTTCTGGAAATCAACCAAGAACAATATAATCGATTATTTAGCTGGATAATCGATTATTCCAGAGAGTTGTTCCTGGGATAATCGATTATTTTGGCAAATAATCGATTATTACAGCAAGGCATTCCACTTAGCCTATTTGCTGAAATAATCGATTATATTTAACAATAATCGATTATTTTGAGTTAGTTCTTAAAACTTCATTTTAAGACTCAAAATAACTTTCCAATGTTTTTAACTCATCATCATATACTCTCTACTTGGTTTAGATAAGATTTGATTATGCACAAAGCATACTAAGCACACAAAATATAGAAACACATTCACAACAATTTATATCCTAAGTTCTATTACATAGCTCCAACTCATAGCATTTTCTTGACTCTTCTTTGACTTTGTTTTTGTGCTCCAAGTTGTTGTTCTCATGTTGTGATCATCAAAACTCTTTAAGCTCTCCTAAGCTCAACAACTTTATCATCTTTCAACATTCAACTTATCAACTTTAACATCATACAACATATACAACATTCAACTTTCAACTTCACAACATGTTAACTTAAACAATGTAAACATCATACATCTTTGTAATGTCCACAACTTTGATTGAACAATGTCAAAAATCAACTTAAGCAACTAAAACAACTTAGAACTTTGCACATATTCAACATACTACGTATCAACACACATAACATCTTACAATACCACTTATACAACTTATTCATCATTCGACTATAAAACAACTTTAACAACCAACTTTTTATCATACAGCTCATGCTCGACACCACTCATTAAGCACTTGATGCCATTGAGGTAGGGAGCTTCTTATGTCATCCACTCTTACACCTCTTGCGTTCGACGCGATTGAGACAGAAAAGGGCCTTACACTCCCACATCTAGTGTGACAACATCAACACCCGACCCCAATCAAGTAAAGAGTTCTTTATCTAACTCATGTCCAATGCCACACACTTTAGTGCTCGACGTGAATCCAGACAGAGACGAGTCTCTCTCCTTATGTCTTATGCCACCAATCTTGCACCCGACGTGATTTTGACAAAGACCTCTCTTTTGAAGTCCCACCCAACACCATGAAGGTGTGCATGACATGATATCAGATTTTGCACTTATGTAAAACCTGTTTTTGCCTAATCTCTTGAAAATCAACAAATCCCACAACATGCAACATAATAAACAACATTTATACAACATGTATAACACAATTCCATCATTATAAATAACATGGAACTACAATCAATCAAGAATCAAGCATAAACCTTTGTGAACACCCTTTGAACAACAAAACCCACAAACCCTCTCAATTTCATCATTCAATCACTTAACACATGTAATTATTTCATTCTAATCATTACAACCACATAATGCACATCTAAATTAGAAATCACAGCTTTCCCTTACCCCTCGGAGACTCAAATCCGTGAGATGAGAATGACTTTAACTTGAATCTTTTGCTTTCACAAGCTCGAGTTCCAACCCACAACCAACTAGGATCAACTAAGGAAAAAGGTAGAAAAAGGAAGGTTAAAGTGAGGAAGAAAAAGTAAGAAGGGAGAAGGAGGAGGAGATAATCTCTCTATAGTTTCTCTTTAGAGTTCTTAAAAAACTTAAGTTATTAATTTCCTTTTAAAAAAAATTCATTTTTATACCTTTTATGAGTTGACTCTACTCATGTCTGATCTAATCCTATAGAGATCAATGTATCTTCAGGATCTCTCAGTCTCAAAATTCTCAACAACTACTAAATCAAATAACAGAGTTATGAGATAATAGTGTTATAAATCACAATTCCCTCACTTTAAAGGGGTTAGATCCAAAAACGATATCATGTTCTGATATTTACAATTTTATAGACTCTTTTATCCTTAACTAATACAAACAATTATCCATTGATACGAAATAATTATATGTGTACTCCTTCATGTTATCATTTTTAATTTTTAATTTTTTGAGACACATAGTAATTTTTTTCTTCTTAATTTTAATAATGATAATTTAAAAATATAATATAACATATTATCTATCATTTAAATACAATAAATCTTCAAGATAAACTTAAATAGAATAATACATTATAAAATACGATGATTTAGTTATACTTTAAATATAAACAAATATTTACACAAACTAAAATAAGATAATTGTGATAACATAATATTTTTTTTAATATGTAATTTAACTTTAACCAATTATTTAAGTTAAGATAATACGATATTCCCCTCAAAAAAAAGATAATACGATATTATAATTTATATATAATTAAATTTCAAGATAAGATAATTAATATTATAATAATAATAAAAAATAAGAATAATAATATTAACGAATATATATATATATATATATCAAAGTTTAGAAAAAATTATTATATTTAATAAAAAAATCTTATATTTTATTAATAATATTTTTAATTTGGGATATAACGAGTCAATTTAATTTTTTTAGTCAATTTGCTTTAATTAACAAAATGAGTAAAATGAAATTGACTCGTTTATCTAATGAACAATACCTTTATCTATTTTGTGTGGTACACAATATTTTTTTTTCTTACATGAGAATTATAATTATTGATAATCATAAATATTGATATTCATGATTTTGAGGAATCATTTTTTTTTATATTAAATTTAAGGAATGATTAAAATATATTAGTTAATTATAAATATTTTTAATTATTACTTGATAATAAACAATTTTTACAATATAAAATAAAATAAATAAATAAAGATAATGTAAAAAAAATTTACAACATCAAAATTATCCTTTTATTTTTGTGAAAAATATATGTCAAAAATATTATCAAAAACAGTATTTTTCATTAATGTCATTTAAAAAAAAAACAAATCTAACATGAAAAATTAATATCCCTAACTTCAAATTAACCAAAAAGTATTTTTTTTTTAACATTGCCGTGGATAATGACATGGTTTCCAAATCTATTAATAAAAAATATAAATATTTATAAAGTCTTTTTTAAAAAAATGATCGGAAAAGCTAATATTTAAAATATGAAAAAAAAACATTAGAAAAGTGTCTAACGTAATTAATATTAATAAAAAATAAAAATTACCATAGACATTAGATTATTTATTTACTTATTATTGCTACTATTTTTTTTGATAAAAAACTTCGTTTTTTTTTTCATGATGCAAATAATGAAATTTTGTGTTTGTATTGTTTATCATATAATTAAAAAAGTTGTGGAGAAATAACAAGCCAAGTCAATTATAATTAGCATTTAGCATAAGATTGTCGTGTTAATCAAGTTATTCAAGTTGCAACTTTGTCAAACTTTTTAGTGAGTCGTCGTAAGTTTCAATTTCGTCAAATCATAATTTGTGAGTTATTTATAATTCGCAATATATACACGTTGTTTTAACCTTGAGAACTGAAATAGTTTTGTTCCCTTGGTTTCAATTTTTTTTTCATATAAAAAGAAGAAATATGTTTTAGTAATTAAAAATAAAACTTTTAAACTAAAGATAAAGGAGAGAAATTATAAAAGATGGATACTTGGAAAATAATAATGAAATGCTTATTAAAAGGGAACTGCTATGGTACCCATGATAATTGAAGAGTTTTGGTATTTCAAATTATGTGAACAAATAAATTTTAAAAATAAATTTAAAATAACATAAATTTTAGATAAAAAATTTGTAGAAGATAAATCAATCAAAAAGACTAATTCAAAAAAAATAATTAAAAGGTTAATTTTCATAACAAATTTTATTTATACGTGATAGAATTAAAAAATTTTTAAAAAAATAATAATAATATTATAAAAATATTAAAATAACAAAAAAAATAATAAAAAAATAATTGAAAAACTAATTTATAAAAAAAATATTACCGTAGAGTTTTCCTTATTAAAAATCAATGAAATTAATTATCTTTACTATATAAATTAAACTCAAAGTAACTATATTTAATGAGAGTGATCTGATAGTATTTTTAATTATAAAAAAATACTCTTTCAATTTATTTATTTTAGTTTTAAACTAAATTTTAATGACCAATAAAAAAATAAAATTTAATATTTTTATGAATATCAATTTCTAAAAATAATTTTTTAGTTCAATATAAACTAGTATTTTTAACTTGTGTAATATATAATTATATTTATTATATATAATTAAATTTATAATAATCAAATATATAAATAAATATTATGTTGAATATACAAACTATATTTACAATTTGTATAATACATATTTTTAAACATATAAATTATATTTTAGATTTATAATAAAATTTATATTATAACACAATTTTTTTATTAATACTTTATTTTAAAATATTAATATTTAATTTATAAATAATTAAAATAAATGAAAAAATTAAATCAAATAAGAAGTTAATTTTTTTTATAAAACTTATTATTGAAAGAAAGTTTCTAAAAACACTATCACAAAAAATAACGATTTGATTTATTGATAATATATTTTAAAATAATAAGATTTAATTCATAAATAATCATGATAAATATAAATTAAATTAAATAAAAAATTTAAAAAATTATATAAATTCTCTACTTTTGGATGAGGAAGTGATTTGTTCTTTAATACATGAGAATTAATTATTTATTATAAATTTAAATATAATTTATATATTTTAAAATATTTATTTATTAGTATTTTAGATCATTCAACATACATCACACATGTTTATTTTATATAGCTGTACTTGATAAAAATATATTTTTATTATATATATATTACATTATAATTAAAATTTATAACAAATATCTTATATATTTTTAGTCTTATTTTAAATTTCAATATTTTTTTCAAAAATTATCAATAATTAAAATAATATTATATTATAACAGAATTTGTTTCTTACAAATTTAAATTATTACTTTCATTTTAAAAATATTTATTTATTAAAATTTTAATTATAGTACTATATATATATATATCCATAAATATTATAAATTATTACATATAAAGTAAATATTTATCGTTAACTTTTTAAATTTAAATTAGGATTGCTTATAAATCCATGTTCTCCTATTGACCCAAGTTACCCAGCCTAGTCTGAAAAATAGATATACAAGAATTAAATTTGTTATTTAAAGTGATCTGTTATGGTAACAAATTAATTTTTTTTTTAATTTTTATATATTATCATCGTATCAAATATTCATGGGAGATACTACCAACAAAGCTAATAAATAAATAATACCCTAATATTTTTCGGAATTACCCATTCTCACGTTGCATATAGATATAGCGGCTGAGGGCATTGAATTTGGTAGAGAACAAATTTAGAAAGATGGAGAAAGGGAAAAGTGGAAGCAGAGAAAAATAGTGAAGAATTCCATAATATGAAATTAATGTCACTGTAATTTCCTCTTCCTCCACGCAACCAAAACACAACAAAACCCCTCTCTTCTTCTCTTCCTTTTCCTTCTTTGTCTTCATCGCTTATTCAATCACTTAACACAACTTGTCTCGTCCTTTCAAATTCCTCAACTTTCCCTGCCTTTTTCTATAACTCTCCTTCTGGGTACCCTGCTTCCATGTTCACTGCTTAGTCCTAGGTAACTGTCTTTTTTTCTATTATGCGCAAAATCCCATTTTTAAATGCTTAAATTTTCGTTTTTTTTTTTTTGTGGTTTTTGATGATGAGCTTATGGTTTCATTTGGGGTTTTGTTTTTATATGTAATTAAACTGTTTTACTAGTTTTGTTTCACCGTATTTGATTGTGTTGCCAAAAGTTTCGTTTTTCTTTTTTTGTTACTTATCTAGTTCTGCTCACTAGTGTGACTTTGTGATCGTTCTCGTTTCGTGCAATGCATTGTTTGGTAATGTAGTTGTACTTTGATGTTTCATTGGATTTTTCACCTCAATTGGGATATTCTATGCCACAATTCTGGAATTTTGTTTTTTTGTTTTTTCTTATGTGCAAACAAAAAATCTCATTGTTTTTCACCTGTCCCCTCCAAGTAAAAGGGGGGAAAATCTTCTTGTGTTTACACTTGCCTAGTAAAATTGGGATTTGTAACATTTATCTGCCTTTTGAAGTTTGGGGTGGATATGATTCTATTGGTTTAGGCTGTATATTCGGACGTCATTTGCATGTCGTGCAATTATGTTCCTCTGATGTGGGGTCTAGTATGTCTCATTATAGATATGTTGGCATGATGTCTCTATACAATTTGATTGTTGGGGAGGACTGGTTCTTCACTCACCATGTCTTTATGAGATGCCGGTAATGGGCTGAGATAGTAGTGGTTGGGTATGATTTTGGTTTGCATTCTTTGGCAGATAGCTAGGCATTTGCAATATTTTTCATGGGGCTGACATAAAACCACTTTTATAAGACCTTGTTGAGCTGATCATATTTCTGTTGGTGATTTTCAATTTTTAACTTTTGTTACCTCGAGTTGGGTTTTTAAATAGGAACAACTACGTTAGTAGCAGCACAAAGCTTTAACTTCCGTGCTCCTTGTTCAATTTGTAGTTCATTAGGCTAAAAGTATGAAATCCTATCTCTTAGTATCTGTTTCTGTGCTGCCACTGGAAGATACTAATATTGATTCTGTCGTGTTTGTAGAACCTTGTAATAAGCATTTAGGCCTTTGGGGCATGGACTGGCTGTTTTTGCCAACTTTCAGTGTCTGTAAAGAATGTTTAACTGGGCAAGAGATGCTAGTGCTTTTAATGTATTCAACTGGAAAAGTCAAGGTGAATCATCTTTAACAACGGGATTACTTCAAGATGTTCCACTAGAGATTGAATTGTCAGATTATAGAAGGATCCCAAGTCCAGGTAGTGAGAGCCCTTCAGGGCTACTTAATGGTGAGAGCCTAAAAGTGGAACCCATTGCTGATTTGGATCTCTTCTTTGAAAGACTTTACAGTTACTACTGCGAGAAAGGGCTCTGGTGCATCATCATAAAGTGGATTGGTGAACTTTTGAGTCTCGGGTTCACCATATGTTTTTCAGGATTTTTCTTACTGTATGTCGACTGGAATGGGCTCCGTAATATAAAGTGTGGGACGGATGCAGTTGAATCTGGAAGGCAGCCTTGTGATCTTGCTAATGAAGCTCTTTATCAACACCCTTTAACTCCATTAACACTCAGCAGAGCTATTATTGTCGGATACTTGGGAATATTTTCTATATATTGGATATTTTGCTTCTTGAGATTCTTTGTTCAACTAAATGATACTTTGGAAATCCGAAAGTTTTACTACAATAGGTAAGTATTGAATGATAAACAATTGAAATGTATTTTTAAAGGATTGATAAATTTTGCATGACTCAAGTTTTTTACCCCAAAAATTTACCATGATCTTTTTGCAGTCTCTGTGTTACTGATAATGAAATTCAAACCGTGCCCTGGGCTACTATTCTTGAAAAGGTTGTCGTTTTGCAAAGCTCACAACAACTCTGCGTGGTTAAGGATCTTTCTGCTCATGACATGGTGATGAGGTTGATGCGGAAGGAGAACTACTTGATTGGAATGCTCAACAAAGGTGTGCTTGCTTTCCCCATTTCACAGTGGGTCCCAGGTGCTGGACCAACAGTAAAATCTGGTACTAATGGAACACAATATCGCCTTATACTGCCCAAGACCCTTGAGTGGACTTTAAACTGGTGCATCCTGCAAAGCATGTTTGATCGGTATGTAATTATTGTACAAATGCCATTTCATGTATGATTATTGTAGTATTCAGTATCACTTGATCATGTGACTTTTACATATATGACCTTTCATCATCTCAGGTGTTGTTATTGAATTTTCTCTTTTAGACCAATTTTAGAAATGATGTGTTGGTCTGAAGGATGCAATTTAGGTGCAGAATTTTGACTCTAAAAGTTACACTTGAGATGTAACTTGAAATTGTATGATCAATTTTATTCAGTATCATTGGATCATGTGACTTGTAAATATATGGCCTTTCATCATCTCAGGTGTAGTTACTAAATTCTCTAGTTAGATTGGTTTCAGAAACGATGTGTTGGTTCGAGGGGTGCCATTTAGGTGCAAAATTGTGACTCTGAAAGTTACTTTTGATATATAATATTTAATAACGATCTGGTTTATGCTTGGAAGTTGAAACTATTAAGACCATGTTTGGGACAGACTAGATTTTGATATTTCAACTGTTTTTGAGTAAAAAGGTTGTTTGCAAAATAAACTGTATTTGGGACAAAAACTGAAATTTTAGAAAAGTTTTTTTTTGTCTCTATATAAAAGCTATTTTTATACATCTGAAAATTTTAAGCCTATGATTATTTCCCATTATAATTATAATTGATTAATGAAAGAATATAATTTTCATAGCTGTCCCAGACACATTCTAAGAGTCATATTTCACTTTAATCTGGATGTTAAGCTTGAAAAACTGAACTTTATTGGGCAGTGTTTGCCTTAAAATTTTGAAAATCTTAATTGTTTCTTATTGGAAAGCTGTAAAATGCAATTTTATGGAGGATTTGTTTTGAAAAATTAAAAATGGTATAATGACAATAACTTGAGGGGTTTCATGTGAACGATGTAGATTGATATGATGATTTCGTGTAGTAATTTCTATGATAATATTAAGGCTTAAGTGCAGTTTGTTTTTGGTCTTTAAAAATGTGATGTCTTTCAGTTTTAGTCATTATTTATATTTTGTTTGTTTTTAGTTCCTACTCCCTATATTTAACAAAAACAGTATGCGAGTCCCTCACCATCAACAAAAAAGAACATGTTTTTTTTATTATAATTTTTATAGACTAAAAACAAATTTAATTTTAAATAGGAACTAATTTTAAAAAAAATCATAATTTCATGAACCAAAAAACATGTTTAAGCCTAAATAATGTTAATTATACTATTTTGGTAACACTGATAGTTTTATCCTTCAAACATGCTCTCTCTGCAGAAAATTCTGTGTCAGAAGGGATTTTGTGTCAAATCCAAGGACATTAAAGAAAAGGCTTATGGTAGTTGGGATTGCGATGCTTTTACTTTCTCCATTTCTTGTCATATTCATGCTGGTATATGTCTTTTTGAGACATGCGGAGCAATTTTATAATCACCCAAGCACAGCATCATTTCGAAGATGGTCAAACTTGTCACGCTGGGTCTTTAGGGAATTCAACGAGGTATCATTATTATTTTCTTGGTCTTTTTTTTCCAAGTCATTCGCTTGCATGGGTTTAATGTTAGTATCTGAAAACAATCATTATACTAGAAATATTAAAAAATATGGTCCATTATTAATGTATATATTTGTTTTAGCTTTTTGCCAGCATCTTGTCTTGGCAAGACAGGATTGCCACTAAAGCCAACATAATAAACATTGTTGGAAAGTTATAAAAGATATCTCTCATAGTTAACTGCCCACTTGTCCTTGCATATATTCTGAATCTGGTCACTTTCAATAAACATTAAAGAATGAAATGAAATTTCATTTTCTTTAACAGAATAATTTTACTTGTCTAATAGAAAATATCTGAAGAAATCCATGTATCATTGAGTAACTAATTATATATGTTGTATATGACAGTTTGGAAATTCTGTTGTATGTGTTCTCTTTTATTTTCATGATAAAAGCATTATTTGTTTGAAAGTTGTATTATGTATCGACTATTAATATTTGAAACTAGTGCGTAATTTTTGTTTTTAGCATATTTCAAGCTTACCAAAACCTTGTGTTACAGGTGGACCATCTCTTCAAGCATCGGCTCAATAGCAGTGTATTACATGCTTCTAACTATCTCAAGCAATTTCCTTCACCTATCATATCTATCATTGCAAAATTCATCGCATTTGTATCGGGTGGCTTTGCTGCGGTTCTGATAATCTTTGCTTTTCTAGAGGAATCTCTGCTGGAGGGTCATGTAATCGCTTCTTCATACTTTTCCCAAAGAGAAGTTGTACAAACATGCCATGATAGTCATTAATAGTATTTTTTTTTTTTGAAAAAACAAATGTTCAATGCAGGTATATGGTAAAAAGTTGTTGTGGTATGCTGCTGTTTTTGGAACTATAACTGCTATTAGTCGGGCTGCGATCGCAGATGAGCTTCTAGTCATAGACCCTGAAGGAGCAATGTCATTGGTTGTTGAGCATACACATTATATGCCCAAGAGATGGCGGGGAAAAGAAAGTACTGAAATCGTCTGGATTGAGTTTGTCACCTTTTTCCAGGTACTCTCAGTTGTTGGTTTAACACATTTAAACTAAACCATACCCACCCCTATGTGTTCTTCATGGTTTTCATTGTAACATAGGTTTGAATACTACTAATGCTAATATTTTTGTTTGGTGGTGCAGTATAGTGGGAGGATGTTACTTGAGGAGATGACCTCGATTTTCCTTACTCCATACTTGCTTCTGTTGGTTGTCCCAAAGGTCATCGATGTACTTCGACATAATTATTTCCCCTACTTTTGACTGCAGAACAATAGCATTATAACTTTCGTTTATACACCATCTTGTGTAATTTATTAAGTATGCTTCTTTTCATTTCCTTTTGCAGAGGGTTGATGATATCTTGAAGTTTATTGAAGATTTTACTGTGGATGTTGAAGGTGTTGGTCACGTTTGCAGGTTGGCATGGAATGTTATAATTTCCGAGCAATTCTTAGTTCTTATTAAATTAATTTGTTAATGGAAGGAAAACCATATTAACTATGTTTTATTGTGTCTTATCATTAGTTTCAGTGTCTTTAATTTTCAAGAGCATGGAAACAGTAATTATGGTTCTCCATTTAATGCGCCTCGCAGCCAGAGAAGTTCCCAGGGGAAGTTGGAGAAATCATTTTTGAGGTATGTTCATGGCAGAGCTCATATTCATGAGACTGACCTGTTAAATATATACAATTTATTTTCAATGAGGTTGTTCTGAACCTCTCAGGTCTTAGATATTGATATGCAGCGCAAAGGAAGATCATTAGGCCCCCTGGGTGGATTTTAGTGTATACATATAAAGCTCGAGACAACTTATATGGTTATTTGTTTTGTCTAACTTCTGTTGTCATTGCAGCTTTCAGAGTAGTTACCCCTCATGGGAACCAAATGCTCAGGGGAAGCAGTTTATGCTAAATTTGAAAACATTCAGAGAGGAAAAGTTAGCAGGGCATCTAAACAGACATGGATTTTCCCCTCTTAGAATGTGGAGAGGCAGTCCCAACATGGGAAGCAATGTAGACAGAAACAGGTTTACATCATATAGTACTTTTGTGACTGGCAATCACTTGGGTTCATTGTTGCCAATTGAATCCAGTAATCAAAACAACCATCCCTATATTCTTGATTGGTACTACACTTCCCAACCTCATAATGCAACTCCAAGGCATGTTCCTTCAGATCCATTTGAAGTGACTGATCATCATTCCCCAGATTGGATGCCCTCAAACTTGACTCAAAATGAGCATCATGGGTATGGACTTTACACAAATGCGTACAGTGATGGGCGCACTGCATCCCCTCTCGGTGCTTCCACGACTGCTCCCATCTTCAGGGAAAGCCTTATTCAGGACCAACATTGCATTGATATGCCCCTCACTACCAGGAGCAATTGGTGGGCTAGAAGTCACCCCCAGAGTGGACAAGTTCAGGCAAGCTTTCTTGAGCCACCAGATTTCGATCACCAAACAGCATACAATAACCATGATACATTTTCTGATAGAGGGTCAGAGGATCAAGACCAAGATCAGGAACAACACTTGTTCTGGGGAAATGATCACAAATTATCTAGTACAGCACCTGTAGATGATTTAGATGCAGCAGATTTCAATCTTCATTTTGTTGATGTTTATAGCAGGCCTCCAGAAAATCCCACTGTAAATCCAAACACTTCAAGCTTTTGAATGATGGCTTTGTCCTTCATTATTTGTTTGGCTGGTTCTTGCTTCTGGAATGCAGGAGTTCCCAAGTCAGATCATGATTGTCCTTTTCTATATTATTTGTGTGGAAATGGAAATTATTCTTTGCTGTAAATAGATTCATTGACATAAGGGAGCTTAGATTTTTATAATTGTTTTTACGTTAAGTTTCTTGTGTTGAAGCTAGTCTTTAGTCTTCACAATCTCATAACAGCATCTTTTAACAATGCAACTCATATTTTAATATGTTTTTACATTGTTATATATATATATATTTTTATTAATTTAAACTATTTTAAGTAATTTAATTCTAAAGTTTTTAAAATTAATCTTACAACTTTTCTATGAAAAGCATTTCATATACTATTAAAGTAGGACAAAAAAGATAGAGAAAACATCTGTTTTTATTATTTTCTCAATTGTTCATTGAGTTACTTTACTACCTACATTACATATCTTACAACTCAAAAAAAGTGAGGAATTGGAGTTGCCTAATGTATAGTAATGAAATCATCATTTTAAAATGTTAAGGATATATTTTTTTGCCAAATAAAAGGAGGGTATTTCGTTCAAAAGCTAAAAAAAAATATCGTGAGATTTTTTTTATTTATCAAAATTAACAACGCAAAGTTTGAACTTTGTTACAATTTATATAGTATATATTAGGAGATAAAATGTTAAGTTAAAAATAATTTATTAATTTAAAAATTTAATGACAATAAATGTGATAAAATATATTATTCTTTTACTAAATTTCATTTTATAATTTTTTTAATTTAATGATAGTAGCCTTATATTTTATTTTTAAAACATTTACTTTTCAGAGGAATTGTATACGGAAATACTCATTTCAATTTTTTTTATAAGAACTAACATGGAATATATCTTGCATCAATCATTTTTTTCATAAAATATTTTTAATATGTTTTTTTAATCTATGTTCAATAAATAATAGGTAAAATACATTAATGTCTTGAAAAATCAAACTAATTATCGAACCTATTTAGATGTTAGTTCAAGATTTAAAAATTCAATTATAATTAAATTGTGATCAAATTGATATTAATAAAATAGTTTTTTTTATAGAAACTGATTTACCTTATATCATTTAAAGCCTGATAAAGAATACATGTAATTATAGTCCTTTAGGTCAACTCTCAACTTTGTTGCCTTAGCAAGAGTGTGAGCCAAAAAATTAGGTGACCTAGTGTAAAGTTGATACAACAACCTCTTAACTTACTTAACAAAACCCTACTTTTACAAATAAGGTCACGTATTCAGAGTAATCAACATGTCAAACTCCAGAGTTCCATTCTCCAAGTGGAGGTTGTTGATCCAGCTAGCTGCTTCTGCTGCCACACAAGCTTCGCACTCATGAAGGTCCAAGTGAAAAGGGAAGTTACCCATTGCTCGTTCTGGCATGTATGAAACTTCCATTGTGGTTGCAAATACACATTCCAATACCAATCTCTCCCCTCCCATATGAGTTGATTCCTACTCATCCAAATGCTCCAAAGCATCATTACAAACTGTTGCTTGATGACAATCGCTTTTCCGAATAAACCTAAAAATCAAATCTTTTACATTATCCACCTCTGCCATAATGTTATATACCTCATCTTTTACTTGATTAATATCCCAACAATTGCGTGCTTGGTCGCAACCCATAAAGATGGAGCCCACTACCTCATTAATCCAAGTATCCAACAATGGTTCTCTCTATCAATCAAATCAACCACCTTCATCCCCATTTTGTTTGGATTTTTCATGGTAACACAACCAATTCCTTCTTTCCTTTTGAGCCAAGGTTCTCCCCATACAGGGATGCTTGCTCCATTACCAATCTTCCATATACTACCTTCCTTAATAAGGTTTTGCATGCTCCAAATGCTCCTCCAAGTATAGTCAAGATTGCTCCCCAAAGTTGCACTACGAATGTCACTCTGTGGATAGTATTTGACTTAATACAACATATTGATCAAAGAATCTTTATCAATCTTGTTCGCCAAGCATAGCTAATTTAAACAAGTGTATCCCAAATGCTCCATACTCCTTTCTTATGGTTAATTTTTCCCATCTCATCCATTTTATGCCTTTATTATTTTCAGAGTTTGAACCCCACCGGTAGGAGTTCATCATTATTTTAAGATCCTTCCCCACTTACTATGGAATGAGAAACACGTTAAGAACATAAGCAGGGATTGCCTAAAGCATTGCCTTAATCATAACCTCCTTCCTTGCCTTTGATAGCGTCATGCTATTCCATCATGGACAGATCTACATTGTAAAGAGTGGGGGCACTTGCCCTCACTATTATTTGATACATACATATTTTTTTATTCAAAAAATAATATATTTTAAAAAATAAATATATATGTTTAAATTATTATATGTATAAATTATAGATTCAGAAAAAATGTTTATTTATTTGATGTATATAAATTTTTTAAGGAGATTAATTCTTTTATGTGATAAAACATATTCCTTAATAATGAATCAATTTTTTTAAAAGTTTAATTATTATATATATATATATATCTTAATACTCACATTTATAATATAATATAACAAAAAAAACATTTTTTGATAAATAAAATTTACAGTATGTATGTTTATCTTTTGTATTTTCTATTTATTGTATACATTGATTAAAAAACTCAAAATAGTAAAATTGTATGCGTTGATTAAAAAAAATCAAAATAAAAAAATTGAAAGATTTATGTTTCATTTATTATAAAATTTATTTAAAAATAAATTATCACTTAAAAATATATTAGATATTAAAAACATTTTTATATCATAAATAAGTTAAACTTGATTTTTATAAGATTTAACATATTTATTTTTATATTTTTAATAGTGTTAAATTATTATAAAGTAGGTCTTTAAGATTGTAGTTATAACCAAATATTTAATAAATATTTATAATAGATAAATAAGTCATACTTAGGATATATATTTTTAAAGAAAGTTAGGTTCAAACCTACTAATTATTATAATAAAATCTAGTCTGATTTAATTTATTTTCATCTTTAATTATAATCGTACGTATACAAGTTTGTAAAAAATAATTATGATATATATTTATATTTTTAAAAGTTATATGTAAAATTTTTAATACTACAAATATATAAATAAATATTGCCCCACTATCTAAAATTTCTGGATCCGTCATTGTATTCCATGACTGAATTTTCTTCCACATTCGCTCCTTAAGGAACCTAAACACTTCCTTCTTGCTCCTATTACCACTAGAGAAGGGAGACCTGTTGATATTTTATGTTTTGTAACTCTGTTTTAATCGGCTAATAAGTATTGCTTTACTGCAATGACAGTTACAACTTTTGAATTATTTATCTTTATGATGAATTTAATATGATTATATAATTGTTACCTTTAAAAGGGATCCTACTATTCTAAATAAAATAACCATTTTTTTATATTCTCTTTTCTCGTTTATTATCATGGTATCATAGCTAGGTTAAGAGAAAGGCAGTAGTCTAAGAGTGTAAAAAAAAGGAGAGAAGAGAACAATTATCCCACCAATGACTTCTAAAAATTTTGTGCAGCCAGTCATTCCACATTTTGATGGTCACTACGACCATTGGAGCATGCTGATCGAGAATCTCTTGAGATCCAAGGAATTTTGGCAGGTTGTTGTAGATGGTGTGGCAACACCAGGGGATGGTGCAACTCTTACAGATACCCAACAAAAAGAGCTTGATGTGATGAAATTGAAAGACTTGAAAGCCAAGAATTATTTGTTTCAAGCCATTGATCGATCTATCCTTGAAACTATTCTTTGTAAAGATACTTCCAATGATATTTGGGATTCAATGAAAAAAAAAATATCAAGGATCCTCGAGAGTTAAACGTGCTCAACTTCAAGCTTTGAGAAGTAAATTAATATTTAATTAATAAAAATTATTTTACATGAATAGAGATTAATTATTAACCTTAAAATATTGTACAGATTGTAGTCTATAGACAAAAGAATGTTATAGACTTAATTATGCAAGTGAAGTAATGTATAGTACAATGATAAGGAAAAGATTGAGGAGCATACCTTTTTTTTGGGTGAATAAGCATACCATCCCAATTCCTACTTAACCCTGCCTTTTAGCTAACAATGCCAAGCAAACAAAAATAAAAAAATTAATTAAAAATAGGGAAATTTGGTAGGAAAATCGACGACACTTGCGTTATTGTCTTTCATTTTCTTGTCATTGTCCTTGTCTTATGCATTGTCACTTCTTATAAGTTTCTTGCTTATTAAGTCACAAGACTAATATCTAATTGAAACTCATCATCAATGAATTGAAATTAACTCACATACATGTGTTTATATATGTATACACCCAATCTCACTATAACATAACTCTACGTACAATGAACGGGTTGCTTTCGGACTACCAAATTTAATAGAGGAATCTTAACCATGCCTCTAATTACGCATGTACATACCAATTGTGAATTAAAAGGCAGAATATACCTAGGTTAGCAGAGGATAATGTATTACAAATTAAGTGTAACTAATTAGTTAACAAGATATTGTTGCTTTAAGAATTTTTATAGTCAATTCAACTTGCCGTTGGCATTCTTAAAATTAATAACTTAGAAGTAGCTGCAAGTTACCGTCGATATAAATTGTTTTCTTACTATATTTGTTATTAAATCTATGATTGGAACTAATGGTGATGATGTTTGTAAATAAATGGGCAGGCCAACACAGAAATCATGTCGCTTTTGCTTAATAAGAAAGGATTGTCTTTTACCATTGATAAATGGAATAAGGAATTTGATTTATCAACAGAAAATAAAAGAGGATCGAACGCAGATAGCACAATCGAATTTGTTAGGGTTGCTATAACTGAGGGATGATATCAATTATTAAATTTAAATACTCGTAATATGCATCATTTCACACTGTATTCAAATGGGATTGCTAAAAATACTTTGGACTATTTGTGAGAGAGGAGAAATTTACTTATTTAAAAAAAAATGTCTATTTAAATTTATTCTACTAATAATTTATATTTTGTGTCAAATTTTAATAATTTAATTATTAAGTTAAAAGTTCTTATTGTATAGATTGAATATGCAAATTTTTAAAAATTCTGAAAATTATTTGATAGTTTATTTTTTAATTTAAATTAATGGATAATTA